CACTATAAATGTTACTATGGTTAATAATATTAAAATAACAAAATAATAAGACACATTTATTTTAGAGATGTGTTCTAATACTTCTTAAAAAAACACTGTTTTGAGGGCATTTTTTGGCTGATTTAAGACGGGTCACAACTGACCCGTTAACATCATAAGTGCGTGCGGGATCTCGCCCCGCTAGGAAGGTTAAATAATGAGCAGATATAAGAATTTTTTTCTTCTTTCTGCACTCTTTTCATTCAATGTTTTCTTTTTGATGAATTTGTTTTGTTTCTTTTAAATTAATGAAATTTTTTTTCTCCCTTCTTTCAGCTACTCCCTGCGTTAGGGGTCGCCACAGTGAACTAAGTCGCACAAAGACTTGGCAGTTATTTTTTACGCTGGATGCCCTTCCTGACACAACCACAGATCACCGAGCTACCACAGCCCTCTGTGTAAAGCAGACAGCTGCTATCTAGGACACCCGGAGGAGCAGATGGTGGGGGTTAAGGGCCTTGTTCAAGGGCCCAGAGTGAGACGAATAAGGGTGGGGGCAGGTGTGGGTGCTTCACCTACACCACCCACATTTTTGATGTTGTCAGTACCGGGGTTTGAACCGGCAATCTTCCGATCACAGGCCCACCTTCTCTAACCTTTAAAAAGTTTAAAAACTCACTACTATTCAATAGCTTTCAACACAAGATGATCTGTGTTTTGATCCTGTATGCTCCACACTGGTTTGTCGTCATTATCTGCATCGTTTTTATGTCTATTCTGATTTACCTCATTTTGTATTTTGCTTTGTGTGTTACCTGTTGTTTTGTCTGTACAGCACTTTGGTTGGCTTTGTAGCTGTTTTAAGTGCTTTATAAATAAAGTGGTATGGTATGGTAACCTTTGTGCCACCACTCCCCATTTTAAATGAACGAATAAATGAAAAAAATAAAAGTTAAATGGCTTTAAACATCTGCTACGTTCATGGCATAAACCAACAGACATGTTCCTGTTTTTAGTATTTTACATTTCTATAATGTAGCTGTTTTTGTTTCGTTTAAAAAATATATATATGTTATATATATATATATATATATATATATATATATATATATATATATATAAAATGTACTTGTAATTTTCAAATCATATGTTTTTTTTAATGATTGTCTACTGTTCTACTGATAAATATCTCCTGGAGGGTAAACTATATCTTGGCTGCAAGTATCAAGCTGCAAAATCCTTTGTTTTCTACAACTGATAGTGGTTGGTCATTAATTACGTTGAAGTTTAGCAACTTCTCGGTAAACATTCGAGCTCCGGGGCTTCAGCGATGTGTTTTTCTTGTTCAGTCCAGGGCGGGCAGCCCGTCTCCGAAGAGCAGTGTTGCCAGGTGTATGATAATTATCGTATTTGTACAACAATTTTGCCCTCTGTACGATGTACAATCAATAATCCCAAAAAAGGCCAAATAAACGATAATTTGACCATTCCGTGAATGTGTGGTTGTAATTAGTTGTCATCAACCTGTCGCAACTGTCTGTCGGAGTTTTTTTTTGTGAACCCTGAAGGCATCTGTGTCCAGAAACAGATGCACAATTGGCTGGAAATTCCAGCCAATCGTGCTTTTCTAAATGTGACCTACGAGTGACATGTATACGTTTGCCTCAGAACAACAGCCATGATTGGCTAAATAGTCTGCTGCGCCTGCCCCATGAGTGAGGAAAAAAAAAAGATAAAAAGAAAAGAAGAAGAAGCAGAGCCGGTCTGGAAGAAGAAGTGAATTTATGGATTTTCCTCTTTTTTTTGACGGGCTAATGAGCTTCCTGCCACGAAAACATTTAGCCTCATCACACCTGGGCGCTCAGATAGCTGCCCAGTGCACGTCTCTCTTGGGGGATGGGTCCTTGTGACTCAATGAAACTACCTGTATAAGTAAAGGTTAAAAAAATCTGACCAATGAAATTACGGAACAGATCACAGTGGACCTATGAAACTGGGAGGGAAGGAGAGAACGGAGAGGGGCGAGGACCCCCTCCCCCCACGTGCAGAGCACGTGAGGAGGGACTGTCATTCCCCAATCTGTTACAGAAGCAGGATCTGTAGTGTACTTCCGGGTCACACAGATCGCGGTTGTTTATGAATAAAAACTGTCATAATTTACTTTGAAAATTATGTGCTCTATCTTCACCGATCTTCATGTAGCTAATTTACGCCACTTGTATTTCCGTTACAAATCATTGGTTAAGTTGATATGCGATTCATTAGACCTGACCCCCGGCCTGGACTGAATGAGAAAAACCCTTCAAGATTCAGAATGAATTATTTCCATGGTGAAACAGTGCCGCTCAGTGGTGAAGCTGCATATAATTTAAGCCATGATGTAAATATGTCAATGATTTTAACGGAAATACGAGTGACGAAAATTAGCAACATGAAAATTGGCTGATACAGCACATACTTTTCTAAGTAAATTAAGACCGTTCTTATTCATAAACAGAATTATATTAGTACATTTTCCTTAATCTAGCATATTGAATGAACGGTGATCCGTGTAACCCGGAATTATTCCTTTTAGCGCATGCGCAAATGAGCTACACTGCGGATCGAGTTCCGCAACAGATTGGGTAACCACAGGGACTCCCCTGCATGCGCAGAGCAACTTTTATTCCGCAGAGCACAAGCTTGCAGCAGGAGGAATATGAAGATAGCGATCAATGACTTCCTGGTAGGCTACTGTATGTTTTTGATAATGAGAGACTGAGGACATGTGATGAGGTTTTTCTGAGGATGTTCAATTCTGACATTGAAGAAGACTTTAGTGGTTTTAGTGCACAGAAAGAAGATGAAGATAGCTATCAGTGACTTTTCCTGGTAAGCTACTGTATTTTTTAACCATCCATCCATCCATTATTTTTTACCCGATTCTTCCCTTTTGGGTCACGGGGGTCGCCGGTGCCCATGTCCAGCAATCACTGTGCGAAGGACATGGTACACTCTGCACGAGTCACAAGTCTATTACAGGGCCACATAGAGACAAACAATAATTCACTATCTCACTCACACCTAGGGACAATTTAGAGTTACCAATCAGCCTAACATGAATGTGTTTGGTCTGCAGGAAGAAACCGGAGTACCCGTAGAAAACCCACGCATGCACAGAGAGAACATGCAAACTCTACCCAGAAAGTCCAAAAAAGTTCAATCTGGTCCTCTGGACATTCAAAAAAACAAAAAATAAAACAAAGCAAAAAAATATAGAAACGTTTCGTCTCTCATCCAAGAGACTTCCTCAGTCTGAGGTGCTGTTTTCAGCTCAGTCTCTTAAATAGCACCTTCTCAGAGTGGATCAACCAGTTTGCTGCTGACAACCAAAACTAGCTGCACACATCAAGAAGGACCATCAGCCTAACAATGGATCATTAGCACACTGATGGCTGTTTACTATTCACAGAGGGCTGAGTGATACTAGCAATCACAGCAATGTAAGAGGGGGACAGTTGAAACCGGAGGCCTCCACCCCTGTTTAATGATGGACGATTTCTTTTCACAAAGATGGCCTCCTTTACTCCTCTCTCAAACCATCGTTCCTCTGTCCAGGATGTGAACATCTTCTTCCTTGAAAGAGTGACCGCTGGCCTGGAGATGAGTGTAGACCGCAGAATCCTGGCCTGATGATGTTGATCTTCTGTGCTGGGCCATCCTTTTGGCCAGTGGCTGTTTAGTTTCTCCGATGTAAGACTGATCACAGCCCTCCTGACACTGAACAGCATACACAATATTACTCTGTTTGTGCCGGGGAACTGGATCTTTAGGATGAACCAGTCTTTGCCGTAATGTATTTTGGGGTTTAAAAGCCACTGGGACGTTATGTTTAGAAAATAAACGTCTACCCAGAAAGGCCCCTGGACTGGGATTTGAACCAGGGACCTGCTTGCTGAGAGGCAGCAGCTCTACCAGTTGCCCAGTGTTGTGGTTCGAATACCACGTCGTGTTCAAAACGGCTGAGGCGTCACCCTTCGTATAAAAGATTTAATTGACACAACATGGGTTACAGATATTCAGAGACAAACAATTACATTAATAAGATATATGCATATAAATGGAGCATTAAGAACGAACCATCGCCATGTGCGCCTCCCGGAAAATGCTCTGTGGGCGTGTGTCATTTCCGGCCTTTTATCCCCGTTTGAGAAGGCTAGCTTCCTGATTGGTTCAGCTTCTGTCGCTATGGTTACGACTTAGCCCGCCCCCTCAAGGACGTTAACGTCTATATTTCTGATAAGTTTTGGTTCACCGAAATCGGCTTTTGTTTAACGTTTAACTTGCTATTCTACTTTAGGGATACAAAAATGATTTGTGTCAAAATTGTTTATACGTAATTATTAATTATTATCTACCTCATGGGTATGTTAATTCAATATCTGTTGGAGGCCTGGTGATTGTTTTTAAGGCAGAATCATCTTAGTTTCTGTGTCTGTGTTTAAACTGTTAACACTGTTTGTTTAACGTGATTATACCTTAGTGATAACACTGATTTGAAATAGTTGTTTATTTCTAGGAATAATTATATTATCTAACTTATGTTCGTGTTTTTATTTGGATCATGGTTATACTTTTAATTTGATTTTACTTAGTCAAACTATATTGTCTAAATTAAAGAGCTGTGTTCTAGCTTTATTTATGTTAATCAGTCTGCTCTCTGGCCTGATTTGATTGCTTGTAATTTATCAAATGTGAACTTGTAAAATTATCCTTTGCTACTATGAGATTATATTTAAAGGTCAACTAGTTAGAATTAGCAAACATTTTCTATAAACATAGTTCAAGCTTGGAAGAAAAACACGCACACCCTTTATGTGACATGACATTTGAGTGCTTGATAGGAATTATAAAAATGTATAAAATATTAAATCCAACACCAGCATGTACAATACACTGTAAATCTAGGCCATTATATCAATCATGGGGTCCACTAAGAGCCAGTAAAATAAAATGGAAAATACATTATTACTTGACCTCACCTGCAAATGATGTGCAGCCTCTGCAGGCAGCCGGCAGCCAGCGGGTCTCTGGGCCGGGACTCCAGGAAGTCTTCTGCATGACTTTTCAGATTGGGACTGGGTGGGAACAAGCCAGAGCACAGCCATATCAGCTGCCATCCACGCTCTATACTCAACCTGAGGGGGCCAGATGAAGAGAATCAGCGTGTCAGCTACAGTTTTATTTTTTAAATACAATACATGTACCACAAATGTAGGAGCACCTGCTGCTATTACTGGTCATCTGTCTCATAATCTGGCAGTAGATTTCATCCTGCAGGGCTTCATGCTGCATGGCCGGACCAAAGATCTGGTCTGTCAGCTCGATTGCACTGCGAGCCTGTTTGATGGGGTAGTCCCCCATGTACTTCAAGATAGGTGCACGTCAGGGTCAAGGACTCATAGAAAGTGTATTAAAATCCAGCTGCAACAGCAACACAATGATTAACACTATAAACCAACAATACTCCGATATCCCACGTTGTTGAGGGATTTAAAGAGTGAATGTTTGTAATTTTGAACATGAGTGTTTTTCTAAACTTGAACTGAATAAAGAATGAAGTAAACCTAAATGCTTTTGGTGCAAGATATTCAAGTGGGGAGGCATTACACTGGAAATAATGGAGGGAGGGGTTTTTTTGGTCAGAGGCAGCACAAAGTGACAGATCCTGGAGGTGCTGAGGGAGCCAATTTATCCACCATCAGTTGCAATAGAGGAGCTAGGGGGTGGCTGATGGTGGTCTTGGCCCCCCATAAATTAATCTTCTGCCATTTGAAGAAATTATGCATTTAATCAATATGAAAATTAGAAAGCATAGTTTCCTCAAATAATTGGGGGGCAGTTTATATATATACAAACCGGATTCCAAAAAAGTTGGGACACCAAACAAATTGTGAATAAAAACTGAATGCAATGATGTGGAGGTGCCAACATCTAATATTTTATTCAGAATAGAACACAAATCACAGATCAAAAGTTTAAATTGAGAGAATGTATCATTTTAAGGGAAAAATCTGTTGTTTCCAAATTTCATGGCATCAACAAATCCCAAAAAAGTTGGGACAAGTCCATTTTTAACACTATGTGGCATCCCCCCTTCTTCTTACAACACTCAACAGATGTCTGGGGACAGAGGAGACCAGTTTCTCAAGTTTAGAAATAGGAATGCTCTCCCATTCATGTCTAATACAGGCCTCTAACTGTTCAATCGTCTTGGGCCTTCTTTGTCGCACCTTCCTCTTTATGATGCGCCAAATGTTCTCTATAGGTGAAAGATCTGGACTGCAGGCTGGCCATTTAAGAACCCGGATCCTTCTCCTACGTAGCCATGATGTTGTGATTGCTGCAGAATGTGGTCTGGCATTTTCGTGTTGAAAAATGTAGGGTCTTCCCTGAAAGAGATGACGTCTAGATGGGAGCATATGTTGTTCTAGAACCTGAATATAGTTCTCTACATTAATGGTGCCTTTCCAGACATGCAAGCTGCCCATGCCACAAGCGCTCATGCAACCCCATACCATCAGTGATGCAGGCTTCTGAACGGAGCGTTGATAACAACTTGGGCTATCCTTGTCCTCTCTGGTCCGGATGACATGGCGTCCCAGTGTTCCAAAAAGAACTTCAAATCGTGACTCATCTGACCACAGAACAGTCTTCCATTTTGCCACACTCCATTTTAAATGACCCCTGGCCCAGTGCAAACGTCTGAGCTTGTGGAGCTTGCTTAGAAATGGCTTCCTCTTTGCACTGTAGAGTTTCAGCTGGCAACGGCGGATGGCACGGTGGATTATGTTCACTGACAATGCTTTCTGGAAGTATTCCTGAGCCCATTCTGTTATTTTCTTGACAGTGGCATTCCTGTTTGAGGTGCAGTGATATTTAAGGGCCCAGAGATCACGAGCATCCAGTACAGTTTTACGGCCTTGACCCTTACGCACAGCGATTGTTCCAGATTCTCTGAATCTTTTGATGATGTTATGCATGGTTGATGATGATAACTTAAAAGTCTTTGCTATTTTACGCTGGGTAACACCATTCTGGTATTGCTGCACTATCTTTCTGCGCAACAATGGTGGAATTGGTGATCCTCTTACCATCTTGGCTTCTGAGAGACACCGACACTCTGAGAAGCTCTTTTTATACCCAAGCATGTTGTCAACTGACCTAATTAGTGTTAATTGGTCTTCCAGCTGTTCGTTATATGCTCCATTTCCTTTTTCCAGCCACTTATTGCTACTTGTCCCAACTTTTTTGGGATTTGTTGACACTGTGAAATTTTGAATCAACATATTTTTCCTTTAAAATGTTACATTTACTCAGATTAAACTTTTGATCTGTCATCTGTTATATCACGAATAAAATAATGACATTTGTCATCTCCACATCATTGCATTCAGTTTTTATTCACAATTTGTTTAGTGTCCCAACTTTTTTGGAATCCGGTTTGTAGTATATATGGTGGTGGCCATCTTGGATTTTAATGTGGTGATCCAATTTTCAAAAGTGACCTTTCTTCTGCCTAGATGCAGCCACTCACCAAAATGGAAGTTGGTACCTGACTTATTTTTCAAGTTATTGCGCTCACAACATTCATGGGTGGAAGCTATTTCCAATTTCCCCTCTTTGCAGGGGACAGAAAACATGATTTTATTACTCCTTAAGTTTAACAAACATTTCTGAGAGAAACAACAAAATTACACACGTTAAAAAGGCAGTGTCTTTTTCCCCAAAGGATATCAGTGAAAGAATTGCAGGCCAAGCTACCGAGCTCAGATTTACCAACCAACGTTTTCATGAGCGGCTGTTTGAGAGGCTCTCTTGAAAAAGCCCACAGCTTCTCTCTGTTGACCCCTTTGGACGCACCATGACGACCTTCTTTATGACCTTGTCTATGAGACACAAAGGCAAAAGGCAAGTTTCTGTTTTGTAGCGAAATATCTCAAATAATGACTTATTTATAGTCAAAAATGCTTAAAATGACTAATTTGCTGTAAAACATTCAAAAGCAGTTCTATTTCATGTAAGTTACGCCCTTTAAAAGCTGTCGCTGCTGGGTTTACTCGCACACAGTGTGCCGAACACTAAAAAATTCTAGTCCATGCCCACCTGCTGTGTGGGCCCCACCCGGTCTGTTATAAATTGCATCTGGACAGGAGATCGACTCCCTCCCATTTTTCTTCAACCACACTAAGAACACTACTTCTAAGAAAGAATAATAGAAAAGAAAAGAGAAGAAGAAAGATGACTTCCATTAAGAAATTGCAAGACCATCCCTCTGTGTCCCGCATGCCAGACAGGCTACATCCTATTGACGGACCTGCACGTCGTGTGTGAAAGCTGCCTGGGAGTTGACCACGCTCTGCAAGCTTTGGATGTGCTATTTTCCTGTCCAGCCTGTAAACTTTTTAGGCTCTTTTCCTCTAAGGAGGATGAGTTTCAACTGAGGGGGGACTGTTCGCTCGAGGAATTGTTGAACTCCCTGGACACGGAGTTTGGGAACACATCCCCCTCTGACACTGAAACAGATAGCAGCTGTACTCCATCCTGCCTTACAGGAGGTTTGGAGCTGGTGTTGCCTTCAATGGTCGCCTCCCTGAGCGCCCAGGGATCGACCACCACACTGCTTCATGAGCTTCCACAGATAATTGGGAGGTTGGCGAGAGCCTGCGACCTAGAAGTGCTCGAACCGGCGGCCCTGGCCACATCGATCATTTTGGCAGGAAGGTTTGCCGCCCAGCACATTGGACACCGGGACCCGGTCTGGCCCTGCTTCTCGGCAGTGTCCGCCCTCCTCCTGGGTTCAGCCAACGATCCCTTTAAGTTGAGGACTCCGGTTGCCTTCTACGCGGCCATCACCAAAGACAAAGAGCTTACGGACCAGGGCTTACGGACCAGGGCTTTCCCACCGTCACTCCCCCTAGAACCCAGTTTGTCAGCTGTTTTCGGGGTAAGAGCAGCGTAATACGTCGGCCAATGTATCATCCCGTCATCCTCTAGTGACCAGCTCACCGCGAAGCTGACAGACAGAATTCCTCAGTGCTCATTGCAGGTGGAGGCAGCAACCAACAACATTGCTATGCTAGCCCTTAGCATAGTTAAAGAGGTGAAGGAACCAAACCCGTTCTCTGCAGATCTGGACCAGATCGGCACGGCTGCAGACACGATCACCAACCTGTGTGTGGTGCTTGCAGCATGCTCTGCCCGCATCTCGTCTTGGGCAACGTTGCTGCAGAGACAGATGTGGTTGAAACTGTCCCTGTCCATCCCAGAGGACGTTAAAAAAGAAGTCCTGGAAGGTCCTGTGTCCCCAGATGGCTTCTTTGGACCTCATTTTCAGTCGGTCCTGAACCAGCTGCAGTCCTCATCCGACGCCCTGGAACAAGTGCTGAGACACACGACCCTACCCTGAGCAGATTCCCGCCCTGCTTGGACACCTGGCCGCTGGAGGGAACAGCGCAGGTTCCAGCGCCAGCAGCAGAGACGCTCCACGGCCACTGCAACTTTTTCTGGGGGCCCCCTACCATCCTTCCCCAGCGGAAAAACGTCCAAGATGCAACAAAGATCTGGGATATCTGAGGCAGAGGCTGGCAACAGAATGACCGTGGTCGAATCAGATGTAGGACACACGAAGGAGGCAGTACAAAAAAATGACGGTTTGGGGGGGGGGGGGGGGGGAGAGATGAGCAGGGTTTTTAAAGTGAAAAATAAAAAATCTTTCTCAAAAAGCGGAGTTTTTCATTCAGACAGGCTGAATTTATCTCTTCATTTTTTTTTGTCAGCACATCCTCCACAATTAATGAAAAGGTTAGCCTAAGGCAACCATCCATCTATCCATCCATCCATCCATCCATCCATTTTCTTTACCCGCTTATTCCATTTTGGGTCACGGGGGTCGCTGGTGCCCATTACCAGCAATCATTGTGCGAGGGGCGGGGTACACCCTGGACGGGTCGCAAGTCCATCACAGGGCCACATAGAGACAAACGAGACAAACAACCATTCACTCTCTCACTCACACCTAGGGACAATTTAGAGTTACCAATCAGCCTAACATGCATGTTTTTGGACTGTGGGAGGAAACCGGAGTACCCGGAGAAAACCCACGCATGCACGGAGAGAACACGCAAACTCCACCCAGAAAGGCCCCTGGACCTGGGTTTGAACCAAGGACCTGCTCGATGAGAGGCAGCAGCTCTACCAGTTGCGCCACCGTGCTGCCCGCCTAAGGCAACCGTTCAAAGGTAAACAAAAAGAAAAGCACTTTTGGTCTAATGACACACAAACAGAAGATGGAGCGGTTGCGCTAGGAGACTCCTCCACCCACCCACCAGCCCCACCTCCTCACCTGTCAGAGGAAGTGAGCGCTGAGGGCAGCTGTCAGAAAACACAGAGTGGTAAGATGTTTAACAAAAAGTTAATGCCCAAAGAACATAGGAACCTTTCTGTCCCCACACACTCAGGTAGAAAACATAGAATAGAATAGAATAGAATAGAATAGAATAGAATAGAATAGAATAGAAAAGAAACAGCCTTTATTGTCCCACAGATGGGAAATTCAAGTGCAACAGCAGGGACAGATAAAAAGATTTCACACAAAAGTTCCTAAATGTTAATAATGTTTTGTCTCCCTTAAGAGTCAAAACATCCACATGCTCCCACTTTTGGAGTGTAGCGCGGCATGGCAGGAAACATGCAACTTGAGCAAATGGTTGTATCGCTTAATTCACAAGGGTTACACTCTGCAGTTTGTGAGAACACCCCCAAAATTCAACGGAGTGTTAGAAACCCAGCTAACATCTCTAGAACAGGGCATAATCCTCCAATCAGAGTTGATGGAGCTTCTGGAAAAAGGCGTGATTGCCAGAGTTCCCTCAGGGGAGAGGAGGAAGCCATTTTTTTCTCTCGGTACTTCCTGGTTTCGAAGAAGTCGGTAGGCCTCAGACCAATTCTGGATCTGTCTGCCTTCAACAAATTCATCATAGAACGACCTTTCCACATGCTGACGGTGAAACGTGTTCTCGAATATATGACACGAGGGGACTGATTTGTGTTCATAGATCTGAAGGATGCATTCTTCCAAATTCTGATAATAAACAAACACAGGAAATTCCTCCGTTTTTCCTTCCAGGTGGCCTGTTTTCAGTACAACCGTCTGCCGTTTGGATATGCGCTCGCCCCACGCACGTTCTCAAAATGTATGGAGGCAGCTCTCCTGCCACTTCGAACGAGAGGGATAAAAATCCTGTTTTATCTGGACAACCTCCTGCTGTTATCTCGGTCCAGAAAAGAGGCAGAGACACAAACAGTTGTTTTAGTGAATCACCTGGCTCATCTGGGATTCACGATAAATTGGGAGAAGAGCTCTATTTTTCTGTCTCAGCGAATTACATTCCTGAGAGTGAATCTAAATTCAATAAACATGACAACTGCCCTGTCACAATAGAGGAAGGAATCCCTGACGTCATTGCTTCAGTTCGTCCGGCCCCTCAGAACAGTAACAGTGCTGACAGTCATGAGACTGCTAGGAATGATGTCAGCAGCTCACATTTAGGGATGCACCAATCCACTTTTTCCACTTCCGATACCGATATCTGCTGTTTAGTACTGGCCAATACAGATCCGATACATATCTAATACAGAAAAACAGTGCTGAATTCCATTCAACAAACTCAGCCTGATCTTTAGGGTGAAATCTCTGGAGATGCTTGATTAAGTTGGTAGTGTTATGACTGGAAGTTTTAGTGACACCCCCTGGAACCATCGCTGTGCATGTATTGCACATATTGCATGTAGCTGTCGAATGTGTTGGCTGAGGTAGTGTGAAATAGTTCCAGATGGCTGATCCTTTTGCTCGCTCTATTTTGAAATCAATCTGTGCGGTGAGTTCAGTAGCGCGTGACATCACTCAGAGCACAAAGCATAGAATTAGAGTGAATAGATCTGTCCAGTCGTGGATCGGTCACATTGTCACGACACCCGATCCAGAAGTTTTTTTGAAATTGGGACCGATACCGATATTGTATCGGATTGGTGCATCTCTACTCACATTGTGGTGCCGCTGGGGTTATTGTTTATGTGCCGCCTGCAAAGATGGTTCAATCGACTGAAAGTCGACCCTGTATATCACAAATGGCACCTGATCACCGTTTTCCCATCTGCGGGAGCGGATCTGAACCTGTCATGCTTTTGCCCCTCACAGCCTGTCATGTTTGTGTTTTTTTCCTGCCAAGCTCTGCCTGTTCCTGTCACTCACTCTCACCCAGCAATCAAGCTCATGCTCTACACCTGTTCGCCACCCTACTTAAGCTCCCTGCATTCACTCAGTCGGTGCCAGATTCTCGAACCTTTCAAGCAGTAGAAATCCAGCATACCTGATCTTGTCTCTTGCCATGACTCCTTGCCTGTTTTTGACTCCTCGCCTTGCCTGAACCCTCTTGGATTTTGTCTGCCTATCTGCCCATGGTTTCTGACTCTGTGCCATCCCCTTTTGACCACGTCTTTTGGATCATGACTCGGCCCTGTTCTCGCTTCTCTTCTTCTATGGTTTTTGACCCCTACAACAACTCACAGACCACGATTCTGGATTTTCCTATTCTGGACCTCAAGTCCTTTAATCTGCTCCACTGCAGCAACCTGCTCTACTGGAGGGACAACACTGACTGCAGTGTGACTACAGACTCTGCTGCAACATCAAGACAGAAGGTTAGTGCAGACACCAACATTCACTTGCACGTCCAGAACTTAGTCAAAGCCACTAACTCTTCTGTCTTGACAGATTGGACCCAGACCTCCACCAGAGGTTTTCCTGTTCACAATAAAATTGTTAAACTGCTCTTGGACTTGTTGTTGTTGTTGCTGATCCAAAACCCATATCTTGTCAGAACCACTGGGGAAATTCCCTGAACCTGTAAGAGGGAGTTCCCCTGGGCAAAGTGACATCATTCATGTCGGTGTTCACAAACGCGTCCCTCTCCAGCTGGGGAGGGACCTGTCTGTCACAAACGATAGGAGGTATGTCTTGTCACATAAATGTTTGGAACTGCTTACAGTTGGGAAAGTGATCAGACATTTTGCCCCACTGGTTCAGGGTCATCACGTGATGATCCACACAGACAACAGAACAGCAGCGGCGTACATAAATTGCCAAGGGGGTGTGCATTCAGCTCAACTGCTGAACGCAGCCAGGAAACTGCTATGATGGGCGCGCACACTTACGTTCTATCAGAGCAGTTTACATCCCAGGTGTTCTAAACAGAGGAGCAGATATTATGTCGGGAGGAGGCCCTCTGGACAGGGATTGGTCTCTTCATCCAGATCTAATCTTGCAAATCTGGATGAAGGTTTGGGAGAGTGGAGGTGGACCTGATGGCCACTCGGGAGAACACTCAGTGCGCCCCGTTCTTCTCCCTAAATCCACGGGATGCTCCGCCACTGGGAGTGAACGCATTTGCACACAAACCGTGGCCAAAGATGCTGATTTATGCCTTCCCTCCAGTTCTCCTGATAGCAGCATTGTTGGAGAGGGTGAGAGAGGAGAATATGAAAATGATTCTGATTGCCCCAGAGCGCATGAACGCCTCGTGGTTCCTGGTTCTGCAACAGCTGATGGGTCAACCGTGGAAGTTGCCATGGAGAGAGGATGCACTCTTGCAGGCAGAAGGAGCAATCAGGAGCCCCCCTATAATAGGTCAGCCCCTTTGGGTCTGGCCGCTGAACAAGAATGCTTAGAAAAATGCGTTTTTTCTAAAGACGTAATATGTGCCATCCGGGGAACATGCGCTAAATCCACTACGGCTGTTTATGTTTCTAAATGGGCTGCTTTTCAGCGATCGTGCCTAGAAAAGGAGGTGGACCCAACTTCATGTCCCCTTGGCTGCATTTTATTCTACCTGAAGCTGTTGTTGGACAGAAATTTAGCTTTCAGCACAATTAAAATTTATGCTGCAGCAATTTCTTCCTGTCATGAAGGTTTCAACAATAGAACAGTTTTCAATCACCCTTTAACAAAATGGTTTCTGAAAGGTGCACACTGGCTCAGGCCAGTGACGCGTGCCCTGACACTACAGTGGGATTTAGTGTTCGTTCTCAGTGTACTAACTAAAGATCTGTTTGAGCCCTTGGACCAGATACCTTTGAAGTATCTATCACTCAAAACAGCCTTGTTATTAGCTCTGACATCAGCTAAAAGAGTGAGCGACTTGTCAGGTCTGTCCGTCGCTCCTTCTTGTCTCAGAATTCAAGGAGATGGGAGCTCAGCAGATCAAATCCTGTTTTTATACCAAAAAGCATAACAAGTTTGTTCAGGTCCAGTCATTACGCTGGATGGGTTCTGTCCTCCTCTCCATAAAACTATGGAGGAGGAACAATTTCACCTGCTCTGTCCAGTACGCGCGCTCAGGAGTTATGTGACAAGCACAGCCGTGATGCGTAAATCCGATCTATTGTTCGTACATTTCAGGAAACAATCACAGGGTCAGCCTTTATCTTCCCAGCGTCTGTCACATTGGTTATGTGAAACTATATCGCAAGCTTATAGTTCTTCCAGTTTTCAACCGCCTGAAGGACTCAGGGCTCATTCCACCAGAGGGATTTCTATTCCCACAGCTCTGCACAGAGGGGTATCTGTACAGGACATCTGCTTTGCGGCTTCATGGTCATCACCGACCTCCTTCATCCATTTTTATTCACGAAATGTCTCCAGCCCTTCGCTGACACATTTCGTTCTCAGAGTTATGGCAGAGTGATTTTTCACAATCACATAACTATATATAAAAAAAAATAAAAAAACAACAAACAATGAAACAATACAGCCCTGCTCTGTCATTATTACTGGGCATTTTTTCTACGATTACTCGTTCAAACAGGAAAATTCCTTCTTCCTCATTGGAAATTTTTCTTTTTTTTATTCCTCTTTTTTCTGATATGAATAAACATTCCTTCAGTTAAGATCAGGCACAGAGTCTGCACGCCTGTAATTCAGTACGCATCAGGTACATGGATCAATGGTGCGTAATACGCTTGAATAAAGAATGAGGTTTTAGGCAGATGTCAGGGTGTTTTTTATGGTTCTCGGACAGACCCAGTGAGGCATGGACCATATCCTGCTCCACCCTTAAACCCAATAGCGACAGCTTTTAAAGGGCAAAGCTTACACAAAATAGAAAGTTGGTTACATATTGTAACCCCAGATTCTATGAGTGTAAGCGTAGCCCTTTAAAAATTGGGCCTCACTGGCTCTCAAATGGCTGAAGAAAAGAGTATGCCTTTGGGAGTCAATCTCCGGTCCAGATGCAATTTATAATGGTCTGGTTGGAGCCCATACAGCAGGTGGACGTGGACTAGAAGTTTTCAGTGTTCAGCGCGCTGTGCACAGGTAAACCCAATAGCGACAGCTTTTAAAGGGCTACGCTTACACTCATAGAATCTGGGGTTACAATATGTAACCAACGCTTTATTACCTGAAATTCTCAAGTGCAAACTCTTTCAGAGAAATGGGAGCCACTGTTTCTCCTCCCTGAGGATTGTTGGTTGTGACTGAGGTTTTCCTCTGCTTGGGGCTGAGCTGATCCTGTGGGTGAGACAAACATCTTGGTTAAACCCAGCATGTGGTACTGAAAGCTGAAAGTGTAGCAGGTTTATGTTTGCTCATATCAGAAGCCTTTAGGGAGCTCTGCACTCTTAAGAATCATGGGGAAAAATGTCAGTCCAAGCTTTCCAGTTCTGGGGTTCTCTGTATCAGGACAAAATCAGGTTCTAAAATGATCCAACTGAACATTAAATGAACAAAAATCAATTGATTCCACCGTTATTTCTTAAACAAATCCACTGAACCACCTTTATCATCAGTAACTCTCAGTGGTTGTTTCCTGTTTGATTTATCAGTCTCCCAAATGTCCTGATGTTGTTCAATAATCAAGGTAGAAAAATCTAACAAAGTTAAGCCAGGTCCTCTGGATGGATGGATAAAAAAAAAAAAAAAAAAAACTAGAAAGTTACTGGAGAAACTTTGACGGGGACTGCCAGGCTGCTGTCGATTTAAATTATTGATTTGATAGGAAAAGTGTTTGGGTTCGCCCTCAGCTACCATTATATCAAATTTCAGCTGAATTGCTCTAAAAATGGCAGAGTTATGGTATTTTTACTCTTTTAGCTAAGGTGGCCATCTTGGATTTTTGATTTGGATTCAGTACGTGATTGGAAACGTTCTCAGCTACAACCTCACCAAATTTCAGCTCTATATGTGTAAAAATGGCCAAGTTAAAGACATTTAAAAGTAGCATTGGTGGCCATCTTGGATTTTTGATTTTGATAGAGCATTTGATAGGAAACATTCTCAGCTCTCACCACACCAAGTTTCAGGTCAATATCACTAAAACTGACCAATTTACAATATTTTTCTGTTTTTGCTTCGTCGGCCATCTTGGATTTTTGATTTTCAATCAGAATCTTTTAGGGATCATTCTCAGCTACCAATAAGCCAAATATCAGCTCAATATCTCTTAAAGGTCAAGTTATCATATTTTTTCACTTTTAGCTAAGATGGCTATCTTGGATATTTGATTTTCATTAGGGATGTATTACAACTCGCTCTCAGCTACAACCATACTTAATTTCAGCTCAATATCTCAAAGAATGACCGAGTTACAGTCAATTTTATGTATGCTGAGGTAGCTATGGCAGCCATCTTGAATCAAAATGGCTCCAAACAATCACCTCTAGAGATATATCTGATGATTACTTTCTGTGGGTTTCAAACAAATTCAACAATGAGTTTCTGTTTTGTAGCTCAATATCTCAAAGAATTACTTACTTATAGTCAATTTTATGTATGCTGAGATAGTTATGGCAGCCATCTTGAATCAAAATGGCAGCTTAATTTTCAATGGCAATGCAGACTAATTAGCTACCTTAGGCTAATTAGCTACCTTAGGACTGTCAGGGTAATTAACTGCATTACTTGAATTGCCTTGCTTAATGCACTGCCTTGCATGTTGCACCAAAATGACTCCCGACGTTACTCATTTTCTTTGAAAAGTTGTCTCCCATTCATTTCCTATGAGAAATTTGGCATCTTTGTTAGCAAAATACGTTACCATGGTAACTCCAATTGCCAATAAAAGTAATAGCACACATCTCAGAGCCGGGCCGGTCGTTTTGATATAACTTTTGTGGGGGTCCATGTTGCGATTCGGGCCACATTAAAGATGAAAAAGATACGCTTATCGGGTGTAGAATAATAAGAGGGCAGTCACCAACTAGTTCCTGGAGTTAGTGAAATATTTGTTCACAAATTACATCGCCATGTTAACTCGAAATGCCAATCGTTTTGATATAACTTTTGTGGGGGTAGACATTGTGGTTCAGGCCACATTAACTGAGATAGAAATGTAGACATGTAGAGGTGAATAATGATAGGTGTCTGCCATTCATTTGCATGGCAGTCCCCAAAAATGTTGAAACATTTCGTCTTTTATCCAAAAGACTTGATCAGGCTGGGGAGCTGTAATAAACTCAGTCTTATAAATAGCACCTTCTCATAGTAGATCAACCAGTTTGTTGTTGACATCCAGAACTAGTTGTTCACATGATCAATAAGGACGGTCAGCCTAACAATTGATCATTAGTGCTCTGGTGGCTGCTTGCTATTCACAAAGAGCTGAGTGATACTAGAAATAACAGCATTGTAAGAGGGGGACAGTTGAACACGGAGGCCTCCGCCCCTGTTTAGTGATGGACGGGTTATTTTCACAAAGATGGTATCCTTCACTCCTCTCTCCAAACAACATTCCTCTCTATCCAGGATGTGAACATCTTCATCCCTGAAAGAGTGACCGCTGACCTGGAGATGAGTCTAGACCGCAGATTCCTGGTCTGATTATGTTGCTCTTCTGTGCTAGGCCATCCTTTTGGCCAGTGGCTGTTTAGTTTCCCTGATGTAAGACTTTCAGGTCTCTTTTGTAAATGAGTCCCAGAGGCTCAATGGGATTAACCTGTATAAATAAAGGTTGAATGAAAAAAGACTGATCACAGTCCTCCTGACACTGAACAGCATACAGGTCCTTCTCAAAAAATTAGCATATTGTGATAAAGGTCTTTATTTTCCATATTGTAATGATAAAAATGAAACTTTCATATATTTCAGATTCATTGCACACTAACTGAAATATTTCAGGTCTTTAATTGTTTTAATACTGATGATTATGGCATACAGCTCATGAAAACCCAAAATGCCTGTCCCAAAAAATTAGCATATTTCATCCCACCAATGAAAGACAAGTGTTTTTAATACAAAAAAACGCCAACCTTCAAATAATCATGTTCAGTTATGCACTCAATACTTGGTCGGGAATCCTTTTGCATGAATGACTGCTTCAATGCAGCGTGGCATGGAGGCAATCAGCCTGTGGCACTGCTGAGGTGTTATGGAGGCCCAGGATGCTTCAATAGCAGCCTTAAGCTCATCCAGAGTGTTAGGTCTTGTGTCTCTCAACTTTCTCTTCACAATACCCCACAGGTTCTCTATGGGGTTCAGGTCAGGAGAGTTGGCAGGCCAATTGAGCACAGTAATACCATGGTCAGTAAACGATTTACCAGTGGTTTTGGCACTGTGAGCAGGTGCCAGGTCGTGCTGAAAAATGAAATCTTCATCTCCATAAAGCTTTTCAGCAGATGGAAGCATGAAGTGCTCCAAAATCTCCTGATAGCTGCATTGACCCTGCCCTTGATAAAACACAGTGGGCCAACACCAGCAGATGACATGACACCCCAGTGACTGTGGAAACTTGACACTGGACCTCAAGCATTGTGAATTCTGTGTCTCCTCTCTTCCTCCAGACTCGGGGACCTTGATTTCCAAAGGAAATGCAAAATTTACTGTAATCAGAGAACGTAACTTTGGACCACTCAGCAGCAGTCCCAGGCGAGATGCTTCTGACGCAGTCTCTTGTTCAAAAGTGGCTTGACCTGGGGAATGCGGCACCTGTAGCCCATTTCCTGCACACGCCTGTGCACGGTGGCTCTGGATGTTTCTACTCCAGACTCAGTCCACTGCTTCCGCAGGTCCCCCAAGGTCTGGAATCGGCCCTTCTCCACAATCCTCCTCAGGGTCCGGTCACCTCTTCTCGTTGTGCAGCGTTTTCTGCCACACTTTTCCCTTCCCACAGACTTCCCACTGAGGTGCCTTGATACAGCACTCTGGGAACAGCCTATTTGTTCAGCAATTTCTTTCTGTGTCTTACCCTCTTGCTTGAGGGTGTCAATGATGGCCTTCTGGACAGCAGTCAGGTCGGCAGTCTTATCCATGATTGCGGTTTTGAGTAATGAACAAGACTGGGAGTTTTTAAAAGCCTCAGGAATATTTTGCAGGTGTTTAGAGTTAGGTCGTTGATTCAGATGGTTAGGTTAATAGCTTGTTTAGAGAAACTTTTCATGATATGCTAATTTTTTGAGACAGGCATTTGGGGTTTTCATGAGCTGTATACCATAATCATCAGTATAAAAACAATTAAAGACCTGAAATATTTCAGTTGGTGTGCAATGAATCTGAAATATATGAAAGTTTCATTTTTATCATTACATTATGGAAAAAAATGACCTTTATCACAATATGCTAATTTTTTGAGAAGGACCTGTAAACAGGAAAACCTGGAGTGGAGTTTTAGTGGCTTGAGTATTCTTCTATTAATCAAGTGGAATGGATTTGTTCACGAAGAAAGAGAAACTGCGCCGTCTGAACTAATGTTTCATAATAAAAGTGTGTGTGTGTGTGTGTGTGTGGGGGGGGGGGGGTTCAAATGAACGTTTTTTTGAATGTGGGGGGACATGTCCCCTTCACATATAATGGTTGCGATGCCTTTGCATAAAACACTATTTCTTTTATGTTAAACTCAGTCTGTAACATTTGAAATTCAGTGTATTTTATAAATATTTTATTAACTTTTTTAGGAATTAACACATTTGTAACATTCATTCAAAATATGCCTTTTACTATTAACAAATCTGTAACATTTTTTAAGAACCTATTAAGAATAAAATCTTCCAGTCAAGCCCTGTTTGCACTAACTGTTGTATTTGTAACATTTCAGAATAACTCTAACCCTTGCAGATACAAAATATCAGTAATGTAATATAATAAACAAAGTGACATTTTTTAATGAATCATGTGACATTAGTATTGATCCTCAGATCTGCAGCATTTTTAATAATAATAATACTTAATTTCTAGGTGTTCAAGATGGCGCCCATGGAGTAGGAGGTGTTGACTGATGCTCCCGCTAGCTAACTAGCTAACTTTGCCAACTTTACAAAACTGACTCCAACTGTGTATGTATATATCTATATAGATAATACATGTGTATATATATATACAGAACAGGTGGAAGAAGGAAGTCTCTGAACCGTGGATGCTGAGCCACGAGTTTAGCTAACGTTTGGCTAACGAGCTAGTCAGAGAGTTACTTCGGCTAGTGAGGCCTGCGGAGACCCGGTCCGCCGCCGTTTGGACCTGCGAGCCGTTGAACCGAGCTGTTTACGGAGGAGACCCGGTCCGCCGCTGTTGGACCTGCGAGC